GGGGGGAAGCAGTCTTAGCAATGCCCCCTGCACGTCATTCATGGACTAGAGCACCCAACATCAAACCACCCAATTTCTTCTCTTGGTGAAGAAATACCAAAGGCAGTTCAGAAGTTTCCATTTCTGCTCATTCAATTTCCCTGTAGCAAATACAGTAATAAAAGCTCTTTCCTACAAGAAGCTGATCTTGCACAACATCAGCTACAGGAAGGAAAACGCATCTCTTAAAAGACTTTTTTTGATCCTTTCTACAAACGGCGTGAACCTGCACTGCACTGTAAGTAATACAAAGGCAATCCCAGACAGTGCAGAGAGGCTGCTCCCACCAAACACCACTAAGTTTAATGCGCAGCCCCTCAGCAATGTGCTGACAGGGGAAGACGACAATGGCCTCAATCCTATGGTGGCGCATGGGCTGAGGATGATTCAAGTTGGGTTTTAACATTTAAAGAGACGCTTTAGGTTTTACCAAGTATCATTTTGCACAGTGTTTTATATACAAGTCACTGCCATCCCATGTGGTTGCTTTTCGGCTGAAGACTTTGAAGAAGGGAGAGGTGAAGTGCCTTCCTGCATCAGTCACAGGATCAACAGAGTTAAAGCTGGGGAGATAAGCCCAAGGATTTCTCCCCACCTGACCTGGGCAAACAGGAACCAAACAGTGTTACAGCGGCTTACTTGTGGGCTGGGTAGCGTAAACCACCCAGAGGTAAAAAACTCAGTTACTGGACGGTACCATACAAACCCATCCAGTCACCTTTCAAAGATGCAATCTAGATCTAATCTGCAAAGCCTTGCCCATCCAAATAGAAAATCCACGCAGCAAGAAAACCGCTCCACAAGCTTTGGACCATACCAGAAAGCTGCCGAGCAATTGTCAGTACGCACCACTCTAGAATAAAGCATTTCAAGGCAGGGTGCTGAAAGCCTTGCTCTTCCCACCTCACGCTAACACAAGGATCAGAGCAGACAAAGAGGAACTCAGACCTCTAGACCCGGACGCAGCTTTCTGCTCTGGGTTCAAAAAACATCCACCTCTTAAGCATCTCCTGACAGCTACTATCAAACCCAGCAAACCAAAGAGCTGGTTCCTTAAGATGTTTATGAAGGGATGTATTATGGTTCTTTTATGTCTTTCAGCATACTCAGGGACCTAGACTTTAAAGAGAGACCTATTTTCCTCCTCTACAGCTCTTGAAAAGACGCTTTCAGGACTGAAGGCAGTTCTTCCCTCCTACTTACACAGCATGCTTTCAAAGCACTTCACACACATTCAATAATCTTTTCATCCTGCTCTGAAGCAGGTGGGTTTTAATCATTTTGTAGATGGAAAAAGCACTTCAGCCAAGTCAGAATTAGAATTTGCAATCTCCAGATTCCCAGTCCTGCACAGGCTCACATCCCATTTCTCAGACCCTCCAACACTGCTGTGGAAATACCACATCGGTGCATGCTACTGCCCCAGCACCTTCCTCAGCTTTCAGCCAGCCCTGAATTTCCACAGGCCTCCAGGTAGCCACTCTTTCACCACGCAGGCAGGTACTTGCAGTAGAGACACCAGAATAGACTTCCCACACGAAGTATCATACGTTGCAGAACGCAGTTCAAACGTGCCCTGCGGACCAGATGCATCACACCGGTTCCCCCCTCACCCAACAAGTTTGTATTTACCAAGCTGCTTTCGGAGGGGAAGAAAAGGGAGCGCCTGCCACATGCAAACAGCAGCAGACGGGGGAAAACTCAGTCCTCCTGCTGCTGCTGATCTCCTAACAGGCACGGAGGCCTCTTCACCACTGTCTCCCAGTGGTTGGGACCATAAGAGCACTGTATGAAAAATAAGAATCATCTATTATGAACATCTGAACACTACGCTCCTCAGGAAGTTTGGAACGGTGAGGAGGGCAAAGAAAAGGGGAACAATGCTACGTCCCACTAATTCCTCTTTTCACCTCCTCTCTGCTCCATCTGGCACGTGTCCATAGCCGCCTCCCACCACGGCCTGGCATGCCAGCTCCACTCCTCAGTTTTCAAAAGCTACTTTCAAGGCTACGGAAGATCTACGAAGAGTTTTGGGGTTACTGCCAGTCCTACGGTGATCCTCAAACATCAAAGTCAACATCAGCCTCGAATCAATATGCTTAGCAGGCTGGTTCTTTAGATGCTATCCTTTTTTTCTAGGCACTACCCCAGAAAACACAGATCTGCACTGTAGCTCTTGGTGTAGGTACCCACCTGCTTTGGCAAAAAAATTATGCTTTTAAAGCTTATTAATCAAGTGACATGATTAAATAGGTCAAATATGCCTCAGTGCACTATTATAAGGCTACTTTAAAACAAGACAGGCAGTTTCACTGACAAGGAGCAACTTACATTGGATCGAGAACCTGCTTTCAAGAAGATTGTTGCCTGGTTGCTACCTAAACTACTACACCCTCTAGTGTAAATCTTAAATACATCCTTCCAGGCTAGACGAGCTTCAGACAGACAGAGGAAAAGACAGGAGCACTTCAACCTGAACCCTTCAGGTGAAGCTAGGCCATAGCACTGCTTTAAAAATAACTGCAAAAGCATCTTCTGCTCCTATAGAAATCAGGCACCTTACACACCCCCCCTGAAGTCCTTTCTAAAAGACAGCATTTTGCAGCAGGTTCATCACTCATTTTCCATTTCTCAATCGAAATCAACATAGAAAAAATGGCTGAAGTCCAACACTAAGCTGAGGCAGAATTTACAGATCCTTGGTTATGACAGCCGTGCCACGCGTTAGATGCCAAGAGTTTGGGAAAGAGGGCAGGAGCACACGCTGAGCCGGCTGAGGGGAGTGGGAGGCAGCGGGCTGGAAGGTAAGCCTCGGGATCCTGCTTCTTTCGCAAGTGGCAGACACTTCACCTAGGAAAACTAGACCCATGCTTACAGCTTTTGTTTTACAAAAGCCAGAGCTTCTCTAAGAGCCATAATGCAGTAAGCAAACCGCTCTCACTCCCCAAAACACAAGTTTTCTCTCCTGGGTCCCTAACACATCCAAGCCAGGCCTAACAAGATTAGCACTGGGATCATTTCTTTCTCAGCTCTTACATTAACACTTTTCAGCCAGTATTAGAAGCTGCACACACTTTCCAGGTGCAGCAGGAAGTTTTACTGAAGACCAACCCCATTTCGAAAATCAAAACCAGCACCAGCATTTATTTAGTACAGCAGCATCTGTTTCAGGTGGCAGACCAAAATAAGCAAATCTAGTTCCAAAACTGACACTCTACAGATATTTAAAGACAAACAGGAATAGTACACCGAAAGATAATTATAATACCAAGCATCTAGAGGACCATTCTAAAGGGTTCTAGGGAGCTTTTCAAATTCAAAAGAACGCTGAAAGAGGCAAAAACTTTTGTCTTTCTAATACAATTATAATACAGTATCTGTCTGCCTGTGACAGCCCTGAGTGTGCTTCCTTTATTTTAAACTAAACCACAGTCGTGGTGAGTTGACCTGGTAACCAGGAGACATGAAAAATTAATCATCTTCCAAACTTGTGAACAACCCAAAGTTAAGCAAGCACAGAAAAAACACGACAAGCTGTGCTTTATTTTGACAACTTCTGCTTCAGGTTGTTAGAGACCATACGTACCAGCGAGTATACCTAACCGAAATAGCAAAGCTTTAACAACAAGAAAGCAAGCAGCATTCTACTAGGGAGAAGAATGAAGGCTTTTCTCTCCAAATAAAATAAGCAGATCAGCAA